TGTTCCCACAGGTGCGACCTACAGTGGGGCGGCTGTAAACTCGCCATTGTGTCCTTAGGCAAGACACTTCACCCACTTTGCCTTGTGTGAATGTTGTGCGTGTGTGAGTGGCAGGTGGTGGTAGGAGGGGCCTCTATGGCAGCCTCACTTGCAGCAGATTGCCCCAGGGCAGCTGTGGCAAGTAGCTCACCACCACCGTGTATGGAATGAATGATTAGTGTGACGTGTTGCATGAAATATGAAGCTTTTGTTCATATTGAATGCAACAGTTTGAGGCAGCAGCAGCACTTTGGTGTCATGACCGGCACTTTATAATTGCATAGAATTGCTAACGATGGCCACAAATTTGGTTAAGTTTAGTTTTCTTGCCATTGAGAGGATCTGGCTCCAGAGACTTGAGTTTGATTGGTCGCCGTTGACCCTGAGATCTAAAGAAGAAACCGGAATAGACTTTAAACAGAAGTGGAAGTCGTCTTGAAAATGATCTACAATAGTCACCCCTCCCCCCCACCCCCAACCCACCCCCCAGTGCAATACACAAAACTAAATAAAAAATAAATAATGTTAAACATATTGATGTGTGTATTCAACTTTTGTGAACACTTTAGATCAGCCCACACTAATTAAGTGATTATTATTGTACTCTAATGTAACTCTAACTGAACTCAAACTTGGTAATTAGTCAGAACTAATGTGCCCTAATTATATTTATTTATATATATATATTATATATATATAAATTTATATAGCGGTGCGTCCCTCGCCGCACCGCTCCGCACCAAGCCGCAACGCGCCGCTCCACAACCCCCCGTACTACGCCGCACCACACCGTACCACACCGTACCACGCAGCACCGTGCAAAGGAGGTGGGGCCGCCGTGTGATGATTTGTTGCTGTTGCCATAGAAGAAGTTAGTCAAATTGTAATGAATATGATGATTAGAGCTGTTTGGCTCCCCATGTAAAACTTTGCCTCAATATGTAGGGGGCGCTATTGGGCCAATTACAAATATTTCACTTTCACCTGACCTAAACCCTGGAGTTGAACAATGGATTCAAGTTTTGTGCAAATCAGACTTTGTTTGTGCAAACGGGAGCAAAATTAATTTTGTGAAAAACGGTCAAAAAACACTCACATTTTGCCGCTCCGCTGCTCAAACAACGTTTCACTGATCAAAAATCCCTTTGGTCATTTTGAAGGTACATGTTTTGAGATGATCTGGAGCAATTTTGAGGCCAATCGGTGAAACGGCCGAGGAGGAGTCGCTTTCCAATCAACATCTCTGCAGTCCTGCCATGTCCCGGCCTGCTTCAAATCCTCCATCATTGTCCCCGTCCCGAAGAAGCCCAGGATCACAGGACTCAATGACTACAGACCTGTAGCACTTACGTCTGTCGTCATGAAGTCATTTGAACGTCTGGTTCTCTCCCATCTCAAGTCCCTCACCTCCCCCCTCCTGGACCCCCTGCAGTTCGCCTAGAGAGCCAACAGATCTGTAGACGACGCCATTAACCTGGCCCTCCACCACATCCTACAGCACCTGGACTCCCCGGGGACCTACGCCAGGGTCCTGTTCGTGGACTTCAGCTCTGCCTTCAACACGATCCTGCCATCCCTGCTCCAGGACAAGCTCTCCCAGCTCAACGTGCCCGATTCCACCTGCAGGTGGATCACTGACTTCCTGACGGACAGGAAGCAGCGAGTGCGTCTGGGGAAGAATGTCTCGGACTCTCGGATTATAAATACAGGAGCCCCACAGGGCTGTGTTCTTTCTCCCCTGCTCTTCTCCCTGTACACCAACCACTGCACCTCCAGCCACGACTCCGTGAAGCTGATCAAGTTCGCGGACGACACCACCCTCATTGGACTCATCTCCAACAACGATGAGTCCGCCTACAGGAGGGAGGTGGACCGGCTGGTGTCCTGGTGCAGTGGTAACAACCTGGAGCTGAACGCCCAGAAGACAGTGGAGATGATTGTGGACTTCAGGAAGAGCACTGTCCCCCCGCCCCCACCCTCCGTGATGGACTCCCCCATCACCTCTGTGGAGTCCTTCCGTTTCCTGGGCACCACCATCACCCAGGACCTCAAGTGGGAGCCGACCATCAGCTCCCTCATCAAGAAGGCCCAGCAGAGGATGTACTTCCTGCGGCAGCTCAGGAAAGCCAAGCTGCCTGCACAGATGTTGGTGCAGTTCTACACGGCCATCATCGAGTCCATCCTCCCCTCCTCCGTCACCGTGTGGTTCGCTGGAGCCACAGTCAGGGACAAACAGAGACTACAGCGCATTGTGCGCTCTGCAGAGGAAGTGATCGGCCGCAGCCTTCCATCGCTGCAGGACCTGTACGTCGCCCGAGCTCGAGGCCGGGCTGGTCGTATCACAGCCGACCCCTCTCACCCTGCACATGGACTATTCCAACCACTCCCCTCAGGCAGGAGGCTGCGGTCCATCAGGACTAGAACCTCCCGCCACAAGAACAGTTTCTTCCCCTCTGCTGTTGGACTCTTGAACACTTCTTAACCTGTCCCCCCGCCCTTTATAAAGTCACTTTACTGCCCATCATACGTCACTTTACTTCACTGTACTGCTGTCACCTTACATTGTGTGCACCATGTGCACTTGTATATTGTAAATAGTAACTGTAACTCTATTTTAAATTTAAATTTATTCTTTAGAAGTGTTTTTTATTCTTATTTTTATTATCTCTTTTTGACTGTTGCACTGAGCCAAAGCAATTTCCTAGTCTGTGACCTCCTGTTACTTACGTGGCAATAAAAATGATTCTGATTCTGATTCTGATGTATGAAAATGATTGCGGATCATTTTTCCATTTTGCAGTGAAATGTATGGGCCTCCTGTTTGTCAGAGGGCGGAGCCATGATAACATTTCGGTCGTATCTTGACTTGAGGAACATGTGTACCGAATTTCATGGCTCTACGACAAACTTGACCTCTGAAACTCCCATTGGCTGTTGTAGGTGGCGCTGTTCTGGCATTTTTTGAGTCCCATAAAAATAAACACCAAAATATCAAATTTTTCACCAGGTCTGATGTTTGGGCAACATTTTACAACTTTTCATGCATGTTCAGGGGGTGAAATTAAGGCTCAAAGTGCAGAATTTGACATCTCTCGAGCAAAAACAATAGGCCCTTTCCCCGTTCGGGGCTCGGGCCTAATAATAAAAATAGTAATACTTTGTACTTATATAGAGTTTTTTTGGACTCTCAAAGACATGTGTTTTGGATTTTATGCATGTATATGTATTTTTCAGACAGGAAGTGTGAAACGGGGAAAGAGGATGGAGGCATTCAGCAAAAGGTCGAGGCCAGGAAATGAACCTGCAACTCCAACGTGAGAGCAATCACTTCCATTTACACTGACATCAGAGTTTTTAAAGCCAGGCTGAAAACATTATTGATATTTGATAACACTACAGTAGCGTTTATTTCATTCAACTTTTCATTGATACTTGAACTAAATTCATTTGCATTTTTCCTGTCTTGATTCCATTGTAAAGCACATACCTGACTTTCTGTGTTGTAAGTGGCTCAAGAAATAAGTTTGAGTGATTATTATAAACTTATTTTTATGGCATATAACATGAACAAAATTAGTTTAGAAATAAAATACTCTGGAACTTTCTTGGGAATCGTGTGTGTGACGTTGTGTACCCAGAGGAAAACTCAAATCTGAAAACCTGATGATATAGATTTTTATGTTTTTATTTATACTAGCCACTAGCTTGTCTCTGTTTCCATATTTACTTGCCGTCTTTGCTCTCTGCCCCAGCTCTGATGTGTGTGTAATGTGTATATAGTTTGTGTTCCCACTGCCTCATGTTTAACTTGTGTCTCTTTTTTTCCTGGACTAATACATCCTAATCTTAAACTGCCTTCTGGCTTTGGGTCTGTTTTGGAGCCACTCTTTGTTCTAGTCTGACAATATTTGTAGTCCAAGGGCAGTGTCTGGCTTATCAAAGCAACGGCAGCGGCTCAAATCACTGCAACAAACGCATAACTTGTGTGTTTTGCATCATTAGCATTAAAGTAGAAGTTTGGTCAACACGGTGAAGTCATTATCTCCAGTGCTTCCTCTGAACACGTGTGCTATTTGCTTCTAAACTGACCTAGAAACCTCGTGACCCCCCCCCCCCTCCACACACACACACACACACACACACACACGCACACACACCTTGAGGTCGATGTCCCGGACCCACTTGATCACCCGCTGACACGTCCAAACAATAGGGTCTCGGTCGAGCTGCTCACACGCGGCGCGACGTGCCTGCAGGACCTGAGGAGCAGACTTGAATTGAGTAATGTGAGCACGAGTTACACCTACAGTACTTTGGAAGAAAAAGCGTCAAGGTAGAATTTTATTTATTTTAATTATCAAATACATATGATATACATTGTAAACATTTGATCAATTTAGTCACATGACCATCAACCATAACTTAATTACTACGACCAACTACAATTATAACCATTTGTTATCATTATTATTACATCATAATTAAGTTATACTGTATCCCTTTCCACTGTCAAGATAAGATAAGATAGACTTTTTTGATCTCACACAGGAGAAATGTACATGTCACATTTGGCGTAGATAGAATCACTCAGATTGTACAAAAGACAGATGTGTGCAAACATGTTAAAGGCAAAAAAATATATAGTCTGTTCAGGATACATTATGTACAATAAAAAAAAACAATTAAAGAAACAGTGGCAATAGCAGTGCAGGTTTTTCAGTCCTTGTGCATGACTTGGAGAAACTTATTGTACAGTCTGACAGCAATCAACCCGTCTGGGATGAATCTAGACACGATATTCCCATTTGCAGTGAAGTTGGCCTCAGATGTGAAAAAGGGAATTGTCAAAACCAGTTGGTGATTATACTGTACAACATAACAGACCTCCAGACACTCAGATTCTACGCAAGATTTGAAATGTGATTTTTTTTTTCTTTCTTTTTTTGAATAGAATCCATTTGCAGAGCAGAGCACAAACTACAGGGCCTCAGATTCAGCCCTGCTGTAGTTTACACTCTGATGGGTTTTATCCACAACTAGACAGTTGTAATTCTATAGTTGAGCTCATAAGGGGAAGAGGAATGTACCATACAAAGCCAAGATGTAGAATGATGTTAATTATAAATGGCCTTTAATAGAATAGGCAAAAGGAAACTGTACAGGACGACTCAGAATCAAAAACACAAGTAGTCTTCATTTAACAAACTCAGAATAAACACACAGGCAATCAGAATCACTCTATACTTTAGCACAGTCAGAAACACGTCCTCTTGGACCGGTGGCAGTAATTCAAGCTCCGTACAGAAGGAGCAGGCTGGTTTTCAGGGATAGTGATGATTAGCTGCAGACACAGATTGGCCGGACGTGGAGAGAGCGACCCATTCTCAGAACAGAGGGAGAGGAACTGGGAGACAGTGAGCAGAACTGGCTCAGCTTGCAGCGGGGCGGAGTCTGGGCAGAACAGCAGCACAGCACAGGAGGGAGGGAAGCGGGTCTCAGGGCAGCCCAGTGCCAGGGGCCCTAAAACAGTCTTCTCAGAGGCCTCTGACAATGAGGGGTTTTCTCCACTATAATTTTGCCACATATGTTGTGTATGTTCATTCACAGTGGTGATAAACTACTATTGTAGCCACAGCTGCCCTGGGGCACACTGACAGAAGCAAGGCATCCTGTATATACCACTACCAGCCATTCACACACCAGACTCATTCTGGACGATGTGGGTGAAGTGTCTTGCCTCCTTAGGCAAGACACTTCACCCACAATAAACATGACTTTTGTTTATGTAAAAAGGTTCAAACTTGTAACTTGAAAATGAAAGTGTTTTCCCCAGTATTTTTTTTTTTTTTTTTTTTTAAATGACCTGTTGCTTTTAGAGCCACAACGGACATTAAACTTTCCAAATCTACCTGTGGACTTTCACTTTGGCACATTGTATAGATCTGTATCCTATTTGGAAGCGTCCACAGGGAGAATAACGCCAAGACAAATCTTTCCTTGAGTGTTTAGAGTTTTTCTTTTTTTGAACGAATATTAAATATATAACAAAAAAATATTTGAAAAGTATCTGCCCACACACAAAATAATATTCGGCTGGTCATGGCATCTAACCCCCGATCAAACAGGCCCACGTGCTTTAAGTTGTAGTTAAACAAAAAAATCTGAAAATTGTAAAAGATTTTAAACACATATTATAGACTATTTTATTTTGTTACATTTTAATTAATGTTTTTAAATCTTTTAAAAGGCAAGTTGTCTCAATAATAGAAGATAATTTATTTTCAAGTTTGGGTTCATTGTCAAGGATCATTATTGACATTTCATGGCTTCTCCAAATTAGTTTAAACCAATCTTATTCTACGTGCTCTGTTAAAATAAGCTTAATCAGAAACTGTATTCCACACAGTTTTATCACAATACACTTTTTCAGACAATTAGAACGGAGGTCAAAACGGAGTCAATGGAGATTTGCCGAGAGCCACAGTCAATTATCACATGAAATCACAAGCAGATGATGAGAAAGTGAAATGAGATTATTCTCTGACCTCCTTATCAAAGCCGAGCATCTGCAGCAGCTGTATGGCCAAGAGGAGGCTGGTCTGGTGGAAGGGGTCGCTGATGTTGAGGCACCTCTCCAAGTCTCTGCGGTTTAATGAATTTAAAACGCGGCCGTCAATGAGGTGAGGGAGGAAGACCTGGGAGTACTGAGGAAGGCCCACTTCACACAGCCACCACGAGCAGACCCAGTGGTGATCCAGATCTGAGGCTTTAGACAGGACCAAGCTGGCAGAGACAACACACATCAATTTACGCTCATGACTAGTTCCACAGTCATGAGCACAACGCCACATTTCAACGTCACGTACAAACACGTATTCTTAACATACGCAGGCCATATGTTAGCTCCCGTCAAATGCCAGCAATAGATCTTGAGGGAGAATGCCACTGCACCTTGATTAACAATATTACTTGTGGCATCATAGACACATAATATGACCAAAATGATCCTTTGTGAGCCGTTTGATTTCAGTTTTTCCCTGTGTCCGTATGACAGTATTGATATCGTGGCTTTTGAATATCGCAGTGTTATCATCCCATGACTAATGTGTGGTATCAGGGAAGACCACACACATTGACTCACATTTTTGCAAATTCTCTTTAATTTGACCACCAGCAGAAGGGTCATTTTGAGTAGTGTCTAAACCAGGTATATAAGACCACTTTGGGCACATGAGCGCTTTCATGTGGTAACTACAATTTGCTAATTTAAGACCATTTTGCGATCCTATTGATCTTTAGGTAGATTGATTAGATTGAAGATGATTGAAGATGCCACATTAATGGAAGTACTGTGTGTGAAATTGTACTTTAGTCCCTTTTACATCCTCCAAGTCTATCAGGTTGGGGACCATTGACTTTTAGCATAGTTGAGTATGAGAACTGTCCACCGTTGAACAGTTCATGAGTTCTACTAAGATGTTAGAACTATATACTAATATATACTCTAATATATATTGTAATATATATATATGTACTCACTATATTTATTATGTTTCCGATGTCACTCACCCCTGGTCCCCCTCTGCCCTCCTGTAGTCCTCGATGGCCAGTCGCAGCTTCCTGCGGTGTAGACAGTTACTGATACCCAGGCCGTGTTCCAAGTCGTCGTCCGTCATCCCCAACAGAACCTAAACACAACAGCCAGGTTTCAACCATTTTATTTTTTTCATCCATTATAGTTTATAATTTATACCCGTAGTATCTTATGGGTTTAAATTACAGATTTGATGTAATATAATGTCTAGGCAGCAGCTAAGAAAATGCTCAAATAAGCCTTGTGGATTGTGGACACAAGAAGAAGGGTCCAGAACATTTATGGACATTATCCCATTTTACCCATTCATCTATGGAACATTGTCAGTGTTTTAAGCTGTAATTCTATGAATTAATATGTATTGAGAATAACCCTTTGAAATGCAATTTTAAGTTGTTTTCTTTGCTGAACAATCTAACAATATTCAACATAGGTTGTGTTCAGGTTCCGCAGTTTAACGACAGACTTGTGATACACAAATCTCCAAATGAGGATTTTTTTGCCATTTAGCTCAACAAACTAAGGGTGCGTTAAAGTCCTTTCAACTGACAGCAACTCAGTTAAGTCTGGACTATAGGACTTCTTTCCACAATAGAATTTTCAAATGCTATTGTGGAAAGAAACATTTAAAAGTTAAGCCTATAAGGACAGAGTCATTGAACATCACGGGAGCAGTAAAGACAGAGATAACCCATAAACTAAATCAGCAAAACTGCATTTTGACTGTATTAATCCCTGGCCTACAGCTCTTTTTTAGTCTACAATCTTGTGATGTTACACACTACAGTGTACGCATGCAGAAAACAAGTCAGTCTAAAATGATACCTTCCCACTCTTGACGTTGTCGGCACAAGCTCGTGAGTACATGGACATCCCCAGCACCAGGTCAAGCCAGGCCTGCACCGTGCCCGCCCTCCACTGGGACATGCAGGTGGTCCGGGACAGCTCTGCCTGCTGCTGCCGTTCCTCCTCCCCGTCCGACAGGCTCTGGCTCAGGCTGTCAGTGTCTACAGGGACCCCACATGTGGAGGAGGTGAGGAGGGGTACATGGCAAATAATGCAAGATGCACTGTATGTATCTAGTGTTATCTACTGTCAGCAAACACGGTTAAAGCTGGGGTATCTGAATTTACAACTGCAAACAGAGTAGACCTACATTCCTTGCTCTCAAAAACTTGGGTAAAACATTAGTACTAACATGGTTTGGCCTCTTTCATACTATGGTTATATTAAGGATCATCTTTTTGAAATGGAAAAGTATAAAACAAGATATGTACCACAGTGTCACCATAAATTCTCACCCCAAAGCCTCTTATAGACTCCAGAGGCTCTTAGCAGATTGCAATAGTTAAAAACATCTATAAACCATATTTTGTGGTCAGATTTTGTCCACAAAGTTCTGCTCTTTATGCAGATAAATAACAAAGTCTAATCATTCAAAACATAAAATTAGGTACCCCACCTTTAAATGATTCAAATATTAGGAATCAGACTGATATCATGTACCTTGTTTGAACGTTGAATAATTTCAAGTCAAATTATCTTTACATTAAAATCTTGAAAAGTAAGCTACTTCTCCCAATAGACCAGCATGCTTTGTCCATCAAAAACATCACGATTGTATTAGGAATTAAAAACACTGTATATCTACAATCAGAAGTCTTATCAAGAAAAATATAGTTGACAATGTATGGCCTGTCTCTGTTGCTTTACCCCTATTATTTAATGGAACCACCCAGATCTGCATTGGTGGCAGGTGCCTTCTACTGCAACACCACTAGATGGCAGTATTTGTATTACTGTAAGACAATGTAAATATCTGTGTACTTTATATCCTTTCTAACAGTTGTGTATCCTGTTTGATATGAACACTGTTATTAATCTGTTACATTGATGGTTAGGAAATGTTAAGGTTTCTGTTAGGACCATGTATTAGGGGCATAGGGATTATTCATAAAGTGTCTTCATGCTGTTGATATATTTACCATTATGGCACTTTTGTAAAGGAGCAGAGAAACACAGATTGATCCTAAAAAAGTAGTGGTGGAATGTAACAAAGTACAAAAGTAAAAGTAATAGAACTGTATACGGTAAAGCGGTAGTATTTTCCACCACTTTGACCAAACTAAAAATATACAAACAATTCATACACACCAATTTGTAAACGCTTTGGTCCGTGAAATGTACTGTATGAATAAATAGTACTTAATTCTTAAAGTGTATTGAATAACATTTTTTGATCAAGATGACAACATTTAACACTGAAACATGTAAAATAAGATTTTTTACGCTAAAATATTAGATATAAAGGAAACCTGTGGGATATATATTTTTACTCTAGTATTTTCACTGTATTGCTCCTGATTCTGTACTTTTACTTAGGTAAGAGCATTTTTCCACCACCGTAAAAAGGATAAACTCTGTGTCATTACCTGGTCATGCCGACAGAGGGAGACAAACTGCATGCACATGGCCTTTTCATAGACGGTCTTGACTGGTGAATTAATCCTAGTTGTTATGAATAATCCCTTAAACAGACAGCTGGTGGTCACAGATGTACTTACTCACCAGCAGGAGGCAGGAGAGACACGTTAGACACAAAACAAGATTATTTATGAGCATAGACAGAGAGAGAGAGAGAGATACAAGCACAAGATGATGTTTAGTTACTTCTTTTATTTTAAAATAGGATTTCTTTCAATTATAGTCATTTCTGTAAATTCTAAAACCTCCTTGTACATTTTGCGGCGACAAACGCAGCAGATAAATATTTTCGGTTTGCTCTTTTTTTAATCTTAAATAAAATACTTAAATATGTTTCCTTTTTTATGCAACATCTTCTAAATTACAAATCTGATAATATTAGAGCCACATTTTTTTGCAAAGGAGGAGTAGGGATGAAACAAACATGGACATAACCGTTCGCAATGCAAGGAAAACATTTAGTAAAAGGAAAGTTTAGAAGAGGATTATTTTGGTTGGCGATGAATGGAATTGAAGGAGGTCATGCAGGGGCTGAATGCACATTCCCTTTAAACCTATTGACACTGATTAAACAGGTTTCAGTCAGAAGTGACAAAAAGACACTAACAATCTCCCAGGCTTTGGCACTTTCACACTGCGCACCAAGAAACTGCTCAGATCTGCATTTTCTGACATTACTATGATTCTACTTCATAACTTTTTTTTTTGTTTCTTACTTAAGGCTCATGATGACAACTACTGAGAAGATAGATGGGAATTTCTATGATCATTCATGTTTTGCAGAAGCTACTACCGTATTGTTTTTCCCTCATGTCTAAAATAAACATTTAAACTTGTCCACACTGCGCTTTTCAACAACAGAAACTATTCTATAAAAAAAAATTCATATGTTGTTTCTTAATCTTTAAACAGTCTCAAATATATTGTAGCAATGGTGTGATCTTCTGAGGCCACCGTACTGTTCATTTTCTGAGATGTTTGAGCAAAAAGTTGAGGCAGTGATAAAATCGTTTGTGAAAATACAAAAGTAAGCTGATAAATAGCCATCAAAGCCAATCAAATCCCCCTTTTTAAATGACTGGTAAAATGAAAAACTAAAAAAGATCATGATAAAAGCAACTTCAACAAATCCAAATGACATTTACAGTAGAAACACTAGTTCCACAATAACTTATTTACATATAAACAGTCCTTCAAGTCTCCAGATTTATAAAAAACATTAAACATAAGACATTGGAAGATAATACAGCATAGAGTTGTCTACACATGATATCCCCAAGTATATATTTATATGCATGTAAACATATGTACATATGCATACATGTGCAACTATAAATATATATCTCATTTACATACATTTGTGTCTGTACATTTGAGAGTCTCTGCACACATTCACGCGCACACATGCATCACCAGTCTGCGTCCTCTTCTATGTAATAATCAGGGGTGGCTGTACCATCAAATAGACCAGGCTCCAAGGACTTCCTCTGTTTGCTCCGGGTGAAGACCCGCGATAAGGAACCTAACGTCATCTTCTCCTTCTTCTTCTTACGCTTCTGGTCCTCCAAATCCTCCATAGACTGCAGCCAATACAGACAAACTACATCAGTAACACAATCCTAGACTTTGTGCTGTAAAAATGGTGTGATGCACAATAATGTTGAATTATTATTATTTTTATTACACTGTGCTTGCATAACAAGGAAATGTTATACGTCATATTTAAAATTATCACATTTTTGCTTAGGGCTTTTATAAAAAATGTTTTTTTCTTTTTTACATAAGACAGTAACATTGCATATTTTCAGGGGCACAGAAGCTTAGTAAGTAAGTAAGCAAGTAATGTTTATTTATATAGCCCATTTTACAGACCAAGGACACCCAAAGCGCTTTACAATGTTCAGAGTTCAGATATTGTTCCAATCATTCCACACACGGTGATGACGGTGGACAGTGCTCAGGTCTTAGTTTCTACAAAAATGACGTTTTGTTAATTGTCTCCACAATAATGTGACTCTTGACATTACTTGAAGTATTCCTACCCTTTTAAGTATGAGTGGTATTTTTACTTATTAGCATATTTCACAACTGCTCTTTATTAACACTTGCATGCACGGTCTTGTCCTGTCGATCATTGTCCAAAGCTTATGAACACAGGTGAGGGAGAGGAGGTCGATTGATCGGTAAATCGAAAAACTTTGCCTTTCGACTCTGCTCCCTCTTGACCACAACACTTTGATAAATCGATCACTGCACAAGCAGCATCATTCCGTCTGTCAATCTCCCCCTTTCCTCTGGTGAACAAGAACCCAGAGATACTGGCCCTCTCCACTCATCAGGAGAGGGCAAAGCACCTTCCCTGGTTTCTCTTTATCCCATTAATAGAAATCTTCTATTTGTCATTGTGCAGTTTCAAAATTAACTGATTGCTGTGTTTTAAAATATTTATAAAGGAAATTAAAATGGTCCTAGTGGGAATACAAACAGGTCAGTACTATGCATTCTTGTCAAAAAAGTAACACCACCACCACAGGCAGCGGAAACCCAAAATCCACACCAGAACACACACACAGACACACACACTGATGTGGGTGTCATTACTTGGCCGGATCAACGGATTCTTACGTTACAGAGCGAGTGCGTCCGATGTCGCGGGGAGTTGATATCGCTTGGAGTGGATGAGCGGTCGCCATCGGCAACAGAGGCATCGGAAATGACGGAAGGCTGTCGAGAGTGTCCCGGGCTGATCCTCACCACGGCTACAGTCATGTGACGCGTTTACACAAGAAAAAAAACCACACACACACACGCAGATGGACACAAACACGCACATATGGACATACACACACATATGGATTTACAGACGCACACACACACACACACACACGCACACACAAAGTCCCACAGTTAGTACCAAAGTCCCTCAGCACAGCGTTTCCCAACCTGGGGCATGTGGGCCATTGTAAGTGCTTTTAAGGGGGTAGATGGGCGGAGTTAAGTCATATAGATATTAAATACATGAATTTGTATTTGGTCATTTTAAGCTTCTATTTGTTTGGTAGCTATTATCTTTTATCATTTGGTGGTGGTTATGTATTTTGCATTTTATCTGTTAGTAAAGAGGATTGGACAAATGTATCAACATTTGTATATGCTATATTCAAAAAAGACTATTATGAAGTGACAACAATAAACTATTACTATTCCTCCAAGTTTGAATACTTTTTTTTTCTAAAAGTGAAACCCAAGCTTCCATGAAATTTCTTTACCCTCCTATTATTTATTTCATATTTCTGAAAACCCTGTGGTTGGAAAATGAAGTATTTGTGCTCTAACCATTTCCATTTCAAGTTGTATTTTGGAATTTCAGGACCATCCTTCATATATTTGTATGTAGGGCTTGCTTTACGATGAGTGACAATATTGCTCAAGTCCGAGGGAATGGGTACACATGACAAAGAGTTGGGAATATCGCTTTGTGACACCAGAGTTAGTTTTACACCAGCAGCAGCAGCAGCAGCAGCAGCAGCAGCACAGACACAAAGCAGAGTGTGGTCGTACCGGGCCGGTCGGTGGTGTGGCTGTGGTACAGGGTCTGTTGGCTCTGGCGGATGGCTGCGGTCAGGGGCAGGTCCGGATGCATGACCCACTCCTGACTCCCATTCACCACGGGCTCCATGGGCATCGCCAGAGAGTGACGCTTGGGCACGTCCTTGGTCAGCGTGGCCAGGGACTGCTTCGCCTGTGGTCAGAGAGAAATACATTTTACAAACACAAAAAATATATATGGATCAGATGAAGAGACGTGGCTTAACAAACCTATCCAAAACCCTAAACCTCAACCCATACCCTAACTCTAAATACAGTGATATGTAATCTATGATGCCTGTGGGTCATTATTGCATAATTTGTATCAATTTATATTTACTAAAAAGAAACCAGTGCCCATATGCATTGATTTGCTGCTGTTGGACTGCCCCTTTATAATAATAATCCTTTATCATAATTTTTTCACATTAATATACCCACTATTTGTTACTTTATCTTTTTCCCAGTGAGTGAATATTTGAATTGATTTTGGATTGCCCAAATTTTACAGAATACAGAAGAACAAAGATGACCCAAACATGCACCTGGAGGAAACCGGAGCAACACAGGGAGAACATGCAAACCCCAAACAGAAAAGCCATGCTCGGAGGTGGAATCCAACCTAAGACCTTTTTGCTTAGAGGCAAGACCATTGTGCCGCCCACACACTATATATTGACATCATAACTGCAACACTGCTGTTCTGGTTTTTAAGGCCTTCTACAACTAACTGTGCAGTTAAGGTAATAATTGTAAATTAAAGCCGCAAGCGGCATCTAACGGCCCTCGCCGCACCGCGCAAAGGAGGTGGCGCTGACGCGCCACTGTGTGTTTTGAACCTATGATTAGTGATTGTGTGTGTCTATTGAAAAGGTAAACTTGATTCTCCCCATGTAATACTTGACTCCGTCTGTAGGGGGCGCTATATCTGCAGTTTCGTCTTTAACACTTTCAGTTTACCCAAACCAGAGAGTTGAACAATCAATTCAAATTTTGTGCAAATCGGACTTTGTATGTGCAAATGGTGGCATTTAATGTTGTACAACAGCGCCCCCTACATCTAAAATGTTTTAGTGTTATACCAAAGAACACCAAAATAATACACTTTATGCTTGAAAAAAACTTGTGGAAAAGTTTGGTGAGTTTTTGTGTTTGTTCAGTGGGTCAAATATGAGATCAAACAACAGAAAACCTAAATACCTTTATCCCCATGTAAACCTTTACTCAGCCTGTAGGGGGCGCTAATGGGCCAATGTCATTGTTCACACAGTCATGTGACCTAGGCCCAGGAGTTGAACAACAAAGTCAAGTTTAGTGCTGAGTTTGTAAATGTGCTCCTGTTTGCACATACAATCTGTGAGTGTGTCCATACAGTCTCCATTGGATAACATGGGAACTTCACACCTCTCTATGAAAATGACCACACTTTGGGGGTCTGTCACGCTCAGACCGTTTGACTAATTAAAACTCTATATGCAACTATTGATGGTCCATGTGTGGACACCATGTGGAATGATTTTCAGACAAATTAGGGAAACGGCCGTGGCTGGTTTGATGTTTGAGCGAGGTGTACTTTTCAGAGATTTAACGATTTTCTCATAGACACAGACAGGGGAGTGTTGGTCGTCGCCACGGCAACAGGGTAAAAAATAATCATATGTTGTCATTGACTTTTTGAATCCAGATGACAAAACAGAATTATGTGCAAAATTTCAAACATTTTGACAAAACTACATTTTAAAAAGCCCATGTAAAACTTTAACATAGTCTGTAGGGAGCGCTAATGAGCCAATTTCAATATTTCCACTTTCAGAGGACCTAGACCCTGGAGCTGAACAATGGATTAAAATTTGGTGCAAATCTGACTTTGTGCAAATGGGAGCAAATTTACTTTTGTCAAAAATTGGGAAAAAAATGTCACATTTTGCCGCTCCGCTGCTCGGACAACGTTTAATTGATACAAATTCTATATTCAATAATAGATGGGACATGGGTTTAGACCATGTGGAGCGATTTTGAGACAAATCGGTGAAGCGGCCGAGGAGGAGATAATTTCCAGCCGACATGTGTGAAAAAGATCAATTTTCATTTTTCCATTTTCCAATTAAATTAATGAGCTTCCTGTTTGTCAGGGCGCGGAGCCATAATAACTTTTTTTTCATGTCTTGACCTGAGGAACATGTGTACCGAATTTCGTGGCTCTACGACAAACTTGACCTTCGACCCCCTCCCATAGGCGCAATGTAAACTGACTTTTGTAGGGGGCGCTATTCTGACATTTTTTTAGTCCCATAAAAATAAACACAAAAAAAAATAATTTTTTGCCAGTTCTGAATTTTGGGCAAAATTTCACAACTTTTCATCAATGTTCAGGGGGTCAAATTAAGGTTCAAAGCGCAGAAGAAAAAAGAAATGAATAAATAATAAATAAATAAATAAATAAATAAGGAATTTTTTTTTTAAATCTTCGAGCAAAAACAATATAGGTTTCCATAGTAACCTATAATACAAATGATACATCGTTTTAAAGCAAACGACCAGGCGGACGCAACTATTGGGTTCTCGGTGATTGACGAGCGCGTCAGCGCTCGTCAATCACCTCGCCATCATGAGGTCACCCACCCCCCCCATAGGACCCCATTCATTACACTGTGTACTACATTAGGAGCAAAGCCATTCAGTGCCTCCGGCACTGTTTTGTCAGTGTTTGGCCACGCGCCGTCGGGCTTGGGGGACGAATGTCCGGGCTTCGCCCGGACATTTGTCCATAAGACAGTTGAAGGAACCCCCCTTTAATAGGACTTTAATCATTTCACTGTGTACTACAGCAGGAGCAAAGCCATTTATCAGTGTCTGGGCACGTGCCGTCGCGTGCAGGTAATTGTGACTTATGACAGTTCAACGAGTAATGCCTGGGCTTCGTTGGAAAAGCAATAGGCCCTTACCCCGGTTGGGGCTCGGGCCTAAAAAAGTTTACGGATGGTTAAGGCAAGGCTAAGTTTAACATAAGAAGTAATAATTTTAGTCATACAATAATTTGCTTTGATATGAAACTTGGGAAGGACAACTGCTTGACTAACGTTCCACAGAGCTAAGCAGGTGAAATCTCAAAATGCACTCATTCTTGGAGCGTAAAAAGTATATTTGAATTGAAGCCAAATTAAACATATGCAAATTGCGCGATTAATCCACTCAGTGCCAAGAGGCAGCGGAGCAGTTTTACTGATTGGTTCTGTGTGTTTATTTGCATACAAACTAACTCCAAATATGAATGTAAGCTCTGTGTGATAACGCTGTAAAGGATTGCCTTGCCTTGCCTTGCCTTGCCTTACAATTGCAGCTTGCAGAAATCGGCAAACAAAGAGATTAATATGTTGTAAACAGGTTTTTGTAAGCATGTCATGAGGTCATGTTTTCCCTTTCTCATTTACTCATCTTTATAGAAAACTTTTATACTTTGACTTTTTGGGCTTGGAGCAGAGTGGGGGTGGTCGTCTGTTTTTCACTTTTCTGTCTGAAAAAGCTGATCTAAAGATATTACTGGGGCCAAAACATGCATGTATGTGAAAGCTAGTGACAGCTCCAATGGTGTGGTTGGAAAGTCAGGTACCCCAGCTTTAAAGCATGTTTGAGGAATTGATATTTCTCTTTACTATTCAACAACACAGGATAGTTTTGACTGCTGGTGAATTCAAATGTGGGGTGTGGGGATGGGAATGGGGGAGTGGGGGCGGTCTGTACCATGGTGAGCTCAGCCTCCAGCTCTTTGATGCGGTTTTCTTTCAGGTCAATCTGGGAGCGCAGAGACACTGCTGTTTCTGTGGATTCTTTGGTCTGTCGCCTCAAGTCCCACTTTTCCCTTTCCAGTAGGTCCTTTTCCTTGGCCAGCACTTTCACCGCATCCTCGCTCTCCTGTACCAACACACAACAATAACTGTTTACATTCAGAAGGTGAAAAGGATATCTATACAGCTGGTCTCTTCAACTTGTGCAGTCAATTATGTCACGTGTTTTTTGCCCTTAAGGCACCAGAGTTTTTCAGGAATTGGATGAAAACAGATGTGTGTGAGTGAGTGAAGTATGGAGTGTGAGATTGACAGGCGGATCGGTGCAGCGTGCGCCATGATGCGGCCGCTGTGTCGGACTGTTGCGGTGAAGAGGGAGCGGAGGTGAAAGGCAAAACTCTTGATTTACCAGTCAACCTTTGTTCCCTCCCTCACCTATGGTCATGAGCTTTGGGTAATGACCGAAAAGACGAGATCGCAGATACAAGCGGTCGAAATGAGCTTCCTCCGCAGAGTGTCTGGGCGCTCCCTTAGAGATAGGGTGAGGAGCTCAGTCACACGGGAGGAGCTCGAAGTGGAGCCGCTGCTTCTCCACGTCAAGGTGGAGAAGCAGCGGCTCTACTCCTTGACGTGGAAAGCATCCAGACGTTGTTCTGGATGCCTCCTGGACGCCTCCCTGGGGCGGTGTTCTGGGCACGTCCTACAGGAAGAAGCGAAAGAAAATGGACGGATGGATGAAAACAAAAACAAAGTGGAGTCCTGAAACTTTATAAGAAATAGAGGACTGCTAAAATCAATATCAGAAGCTAAAGTATGTAAGCCCGGTTGTTGTTTTGAAAGTGTTTAAAGGCGTCTAAAAGGTTAAAAATCATCAGCGAAAAAGCAAGGCCGCGAAAGGTGAATGACATTATAATTTGGGACCACTGTATTCAGTTCTTTGTTTCATGCTGTCCCTCAAAACTTAAGATGATTTTGAGTTGAAACTGGAAGCCAACTTTAAGTAATTGGCGATTTCAAATGTTTATATAGCTTCAAGGCTTATTGTTCATGTTTATTCAACGCACAAAACTAATCCATTGAAATGCTGAACAATAAGAATTTCACGCTCTATTGCACACAGCCCGTGTTTGGCTGTTTACTATGACACTACAACTCTTATTATCATTTGTATTATTACCATCAAATACAAAGTGCCGGGTCCATTACCTTTCTGTGTTGGTCGTAGTTGCGGATGAACTCCCGCAGCTGCTCCTCTCTGCTCTCCAGTGTGCTGTACAGCTGCTGCATCTGACTCACCAGGTCCGACTTCTCCACCTTGAGGCGTTTTCGGTCTGCTTTCATCGCTGTGGGAGAATAAACATGCAAAGGGTAAGCTCACTTTGGTATTTAGACCCTCATGTTAGGTTCTTCTTCTTCAGACTAAGGGTGGGTTCACAGCCAGTCCCAAGTGAACCAAACATAGTGGTCCAAGAGTCACTTAAGTCAGTCCACTTCACTAAAACTGATCTGTAACGTTATGGGGACTGGTACATTTGCTTCGGAAGTAAACCAGGGGGACTTGAGTAAAAAGTGCGGACGTGCCTTCAGGGTTTGAGACCAAATAACCCATGAATACACTTTGTTTACTTGAACTGGAACAAATCTATTCAAAATGTGTCTTCATGTAGATTAGTTATTGCTTTATGTCTATCAGTATCATAAGAAAGGAAGTATTTATTTCAAACATACATTTTTCATTCAGCATAACAAAAACAAGATACAGGCGTTCCATTTGAAAGGTGTTGGATGAAGCAAAGGCTTATACGGCTGAGACATGAGGTGGCCCAAAAACATCAGAGGGGAGACCAATCTGCTTACAGCAAGAATGCGTGTATTTTGAATATTATTATTTCTGAATAGTTTTGTAATCGTGTGGAGGACGTCAAATCATCAACTTCTCAATACAGAGAAAAGGCAGTCCTTTTTATGTCCTAATTAACTTATAAATAACATTGATTAGTGTTGAAGTTTTATGAAATCCCTCTATGTCCAGATTGTTTTGTGCTGAAGAGTGATTCCAACATCATATGAACAGCAGATGCCAATAACAGCCACTAGAGGGCAGTGTGTGTCTTGTGTTTAGACTTCAGGTTTGAACAGTTTGCTCTTGGGTAAAGATGATGTAACCGTTTTAAAAGAGAAGCGGATGATATTCAGTCATTCAGTGGTTTGTTTTGACTGGACCGTGGGGATCAGGAGTATCTCATTGCATCTGCTGTGTACAAGCCATTGAACACACCATAGTAAAATAAGTAATTGCGAAGAAGAGAGCAGATGTGTCATTCAGAAAGTATTCCTGTCTTCACCGTTTAGACACTCGGCATCCAAACCTGTTCGGCAGCAGTTGCTCAACATTTTACAACCGTGCAACTGTAACCTTCGACTACGAGGAGGCACTCTTTTTCAGTTTGCCTTGTTGAACTGGAAAACAAAGTGGTCCTTGGTGTAGGTACAAGAGAGGGAAAAGTGCGCTAAGGTTATTTTAGTTAGTTAGTCAAATGATTTTAGTGCTGTGGTTGTGTTCTGGAGTAGGAGGAGCCTGTGAAAAAATGGTTTATGTGAATGCATTTTGAGACATTTTGGTGTGTACTTCTAGAGGGTTTGTGTGTGTGCAACAGGGAATAGGCACGTTAATGTGTACAGAAAGAACTAAACCACTGAAATTGCACATGCTGTTCTCCATATTGATAGATAGATAATACTATATTGTTTCCGAGTTAGGACGCAGGACTAGAGGTATTCTACTACATACACACAGTTTACATCTGAACCCACAATTACAGTTTGTGTTCTTTGGTCTTTGTGTTATAGACCTAGTTAAGTTGTGGTATAATCTTAATTTAGGATGCCAGGCTTAATGAGCAGGGACTCGCCTAGGACCAAAATAAATCTACATTACACAAAAAATGGGCTCAAAACATGACAAAATTACAGTGAAAAGACAGCCTCATGTAAAGCTTTGTATGGACCTGTAATTATCCCACCATTATTTCACTGATAAATACATACCCTAGTTGTACTGCATTTTTGATTTGTATTCCTCCTAATTATTCAAGAAAATCTATTCACCCACATGCCTTTCCAGTTGATATTAATCTTATTGCGAGTTTGACCTTTACAGCAAACTGGGAGATTTAATGTATAATGATTTCATATAAGACATGAAAACAACATTGCGTCGGCCAGGCTAAGTACCACATAAATATTTGAGAGTCTGTGATTGATGGTGGATAATTAGAATGAGGTGCAGTGCGGTGCCGCTTCATGTCGAGGCCACAGCTCTCAGGACTGATCTGATAAAACTACAGAACTGTTGCCACTTGCCTGACAATACAAGCCCGTCTAATGCAGCGGATTATCCTGCAGCCGCTATCAAAGCATCTGAATTACATTGAGACGTCTGTTCTATCCACCAGATGTAATCGCTGGAATTAGGCAATCAACATAGTTTTCTTGTGACTTTATGAGCTGGTGGTTCTCAAAGCGTGGCGTAGGATCCACTTTTTTCTTTTTCTTTCCGATGCAGGAGGGTTTAAGGACAGTGGTGATGATGCAGGACACTTGACATTCAACAATATCTATGGACATTTATCAACATTTATGGACCTTGGTCATCTGCCCCGTATGGATCAATGGCTTTATGTGTTTTCATCATTGCATTTCTTGTGTTTGACCTGATTCTCTGATCTCTGTTGGCGAATTCAACGGTTTTGTGAAGTGGATTTAGGGCTATACAAAAATACATTGAATTGAATGGATAATAAATGTTAGAATATTTAAACTTATGCTGCTTGGGGAAGAAGGACAAAGTAATAAAAATGACATCTCAACATCAAAATTCTGAGCACTCCAAAGAACGTATTGTGCTGGTACTGACAAACAAAATATCCACTATCTATCTTTGTCCATTTCTGGGTCGGGGAGGTGGCAATCAGCTGCCACCCAATCCACAGAGCAGCAGCCCCTCACTGATCCTCCTGCAGGGGGTGAGTTGACAGGAGGACAGCTGCTCTAGTCTGAGGCTCTGAGCTGCCTTGATCTTTCAGCAGGGGCCTCAAGCAAAGTGTCTTGCAGGTGCAGGTCTACATTGAGGGTAATTGTGTGACCTTTTTATTTTTTACTTTTTCATCACAAACAGCCTTTAGACTGATGCCTAAATAGGAAAGATATTTACTAGTTGTCTCCCCTAGAAAAAACTGGTGCATAAACATACAAGACATCACAAGTTGGTTGTGTGTGTTCACCTTGCAGCGCCTCTTTGGCCCGGTCCAGCTCCTGCTCCTTGTCCCCCAGCTGAGTGCGCAGTTGTGCCGCAGAGAGCAGGTTTGTGGAGCCTCCGTCTCGAGCGTCTTCAATGTCATGGCTCAGAACGTCTTTCATCTGTCGCAGCAGCTGCACCTCTTCCTGCAGCTGGACCACCTCCTCACGCAGCAGCACTGGACACACAACCGTTTGGAATGAAGTTAGCAACATTTAGACAGTATGATAAATATTTTAAAAGTATTACCTTCTTATAGATTGAATTGAGCAATTCAGATAAAAACATGGATGATATTAAATTAACAGTACAAGAATATGGAAAGACTTCATATTGTTACTATAAGTTTCTGGTTCACGGCATTTGTAGCTTAAAAGAAAATTATGACTTTTCTGATGAGGTGTCCATCACATCCATCGATCAATTCCCTTCATTGATCTCCAAGAGGCAATTAATTTAGTTGAACACCCAGAATGCTGCAATCTCAGGCACACACCATTTATTGGAAATAAATATGGATAAGTACGTATAGCAGAGAGCATATGTGTTGAAGATTGTTTTGTCCACAAAGTGCTACAACATCTGTCACTATAGATTTTTTTCTTTTATCTGTTTAAAGCTTTGCATCAGATACGAACGTCAAGACATTAAACGATTTGTATTAGTATTTATGATTTTAATGTCTTGTGTAATTGCTTCTATCTCGTTTAAGATAGAAGCACTTTGAGTTGCCTTGTCCATGAATATATACAAATAAACTTGCCTTGCCTAAAAGAGACAGGAGAGAAGCAAACAGAACACACATATAACAAATAACTTCTCAGGGTTTACACAATCAAACGCTATTGAAGGATGAATAAAACTTTGTATTGCTACAGTGATAAGTCGATCCCGTGTTTGGGTTTAAAGCAATTTTTCTTTTCAATAGCTCCAGCACTTCAGACAAACTACTGACCAGGGTTATGGGCCTGTGGTTGCTTCTACTATTGTGTTTTACAGCTGTTTTACTGTACAGCTGTGCCTTTAATAAGTGGCACAAGAATCACAGACATAAATGACTCAGAATTAAAAATCCTGAGAAACAAATTGCAGGGGACCACTGTATGTTTGAGCTGCACATTTTAAAGCTGTGTATATTGAGTATCTATTCTTACATATTGCATAATGAGCTGTTCTGACAATCCCCAATTGTGCTTCGATTAATGGTTCTCCAATAAACAGGATCCATACAATACTGCGTAACCTGTAATGAATGGGACCATATCAAGCAGATGCCTCGCCTCCAGCTGAGAAGTTACACACTCCACCTTTAATATTTCTATGCTGGCAATGTATAAAAATGCCATTTATCAGAGTGTTTGAAGCAAAGTTGCGGCTGGAGGAGATGAGTGTTGAGCTGAGAGACAAATGAGGTAGAGCGGGGAACTGCAGGCTCCACACACATTTGTAACGCTCAGAAAAACCTCTCATTTCTCTGCAGGCGCGAACACTTTGGAAGGAGCCCAAACAAATGCACATACAGCTCTGGATTATGGTGGGCATAAAAGAAATGTAGTGAAGACCTCCAAGACATGTTTGTGTCATACCAACCAAACCGAGAACTGCGCTCACAAAACACCAGACGTCTGATCGTTCCTAAAGTCTCAAAAAGTACTGTTGAATTTAGCTACCAAGCTCCTTTACTGAGGAATCAGAGGATGGGTTACCCAACTTTCAACCAAAACATTTTGAAATAAAATCTGAGTTTTCACACAAATGTACTGTATTTTAGCCATTGTCACATTTGTAAAGAGAGGACCACCCTCACTTAGCCAACCAGCTCTCAGCTCAAAGACTGAAATATTCACTCACAGGTCTCTTTGTTGTATGATGTTGTAGTCTGATTTGTTTACAACATTTTACTTTTACAATACACTTTTATGGGACAATAAACATATACATTTTTTGAGAAAAATCAAAGTTAGGTACCCCAGCTTTACTCCCTATTCTATACATGAAGTGTTTTCTCGCCTAATACAGGCAATAAAACAACAAGTAAGCTGCTAAAACGACCACAAAATAGAGACGTAATAATAGTCATATGTCCCACCCTTTCTGTTTCTGCATTCATAACTTGTGAGAAGGTGATCTTGCGCCTGTAGCCAGCCTTAGCTCTGCCTCTGCTCGATAAGAAAGCATCCGTGCTGTCTGTCCACTTCGCCTGCGGTAAAAGCTTTGCACTGGTTCATGTTTCTACAAATGTTTTAGAGAGGACATTATTCAGCTTCCTAAATCGGCTTATCCCCGCGTTTACCTGCAGGGCTGCTGTCTGTCGCACTTTCAGAATCTGAGAGTGAGGATAGTTCTCTTTTTGTCGAGCTAAGCAGTAATCCGGCCGGGACTTGGACAGGCTGTGGAGAAGATGGATCGTGTTTGTAATTGCCGTGATGTGGAGGTTGATCTGCCAGTGTTATTAGCTATTACAGTGATTTAGTGCTGTAATGCAAATAAATTAAATCCTTTCAAGTGCTGACAGAGCTATTTTTGGTGCACTGCAAAGTTAAAATGTCCAGTCAAATACACAGCAGATATTTGATTACATTAATTTAGGCTTGTGTCCAAAAATCTGTTAACTTACACACTCTAATTGTGTCACAATGATCTATGAAACCTATTGGCCTTTGAGCCTGAAGGTCATGGGTTCGAGCCCACCAGTAGACCTACTTCACGTCTCCCACTGATGACTGCTGTCGTTGTGTCCTTGGGCAAGACACTTAACCCCACTTTGCCTGAAGCCCCCACTGAACGATCTCAGCTCCTGTGGACTCACCACCTGCAGGAGGATCAGTGAGGGGCTGGTGCTCTGTGTACTGGGTGCAGCTCTGACTGCCACCCCCCCGACCCAGAAATGGATTAAGGGGAAGAACATGGATGGATGGATATCTATGAAACTTACAGGAGCTGAATGTAAAAACCTGGCCAAATGTGGTACTGCACTCTCCCTGACTAAGGTTGCCAGATACTGTATGCAGATAGAAATCCTTGTTCTTTTCCTAGTTTTGTCATTAATGATTGAGAAGTATAACAAGATATTTTTTGTTACTTTAGCTGAAACAAAGTCAGAAGTTTTGGTGACCCAGATTACGGACTTTCTGATTGGTAAAGCAGTGGAGGGCGGGACATCGAAATGAAAACAAACAAGATTTAGGGGCTGTTAAACTATTTGTAAATTGAAATATTTCGGCTGAATTACTGTTATCAGTTGTTGAAATATTCAAAAAGAGAAAGGTTTATTAATGCCTTTTAACAGATTAGGGCCATTTAATGATGACTTGACATGATAATCTTACATATTGCTACTTCAAAGCTAATTATGAACAAAAACAACAATCTAATGAGTTCTTATCGCTCAGAACAGATTGTTGCTTACACATGCCTGTAATGTTTGGGCTCTATCACATCTTTAGCTCAGCTTTTTCAAACAGAAAAGTGAAAATATGACACGTTCTCTCATAGAATAATGACGTCTGATTTGTTAAGAATGAATGTTGCTTTTAAAAGACTGTTTGTACAAACTAAATGTTTTATTCATGGGGGGAAAGATAAGTACCCCAGCGCTAACTTTGCATAACATTTACTATGTATAATCCTATACACTGTGTAATGTATGCGCAGGAATACTTTGAAGTGCTATCCTCACCCTATACACACGTTTAGCTCCGTTAAATCATCTTTTCCACCTTTCCTTGACAAACGAACTCATTTTAAGCATTAAAAAGATGAATGCATTATGTTGCAAAACATATTTCTTCTTAAGTTATAACCAACACCTGCAAACATTCGTGCACAAGTTTTGACCTTTGGCCTTTTAAAAATGTTTTTAAGTTCTTCAGTTTTCAACAAAATGCAAATGTCTTCACTCAGATGCAAAAACTACTGTACATGCAAAAATTTCTGAAGGTAAAACAATAACATCGGCAAATCAATCCGGATACATTTTTTTGTCATTTTTTTGGTGATGTTCACGTCAAAACCAGAAACCTAAACTGGAAGCATAAGCTGTCAACATAATCTCTGTTCTTTCAGCACGAAAGCAAAATAGATGTGCTGTAATAATAGGCCCTGGTAATGCATTTGCTGTAGCGCAGAACATCTATAAGAGCTGCTCAAATCAGTGCAGCCACATCAGTGATCGAGACAGAAGTGCAGTTATGGTCCAGCGTTGTGGCCACTTCTCTGACCTCGGAGTGCTTGTGGGTCTGAGCCATAAAATTCGCTCCACTGGTGAAGGGTCTCTGTTCAGTTTAGCAGCTCATCCTGGAGTCGCATTAGAGGTTTCATCAAGACAAGGCCATTAGAGCCGTCCTCCTCCTCCACAACCTGAGAGCTGTCAGCGCACAGAGGGGCTGTATTACAAGTAGACTTTTGAAAATGAATATGAATGACCAAGCCCTGTCAGATTTAATCAAAAACAGCTTATTTTAACTATATCCACAAGTTTCTACGTTGATTTTTCGCGTTATCACCCTCAGATTATTTTCCACAATGGGTTAGCGTATAGGTGTTTCTTCACAACTTGCAGTGTACAGTTTGACATCACAATACTAGGGTAACAAGACACATTATTAGCAGCACACATCCTGCTTATCAGCTTGCTTTTAATGATTTTACGTTGTCTCAGCACAGGTGCAAAACAAGCTACTGTACGTCGGGGGAAACTATATGTTATTATAGAAAATGTGTTATTATAGAAAATGCAAAGTGCAAATCCATGTTGGGCTGAACAGCTGTGTGTCACTGTCTGTACTTTGGGGGAATACAAAAAAAGCATTTTGTAAGTTAAAAAGCAAAGGGGAAAAAAAATCCTCTTTTGGAATCATCTTGAGCTACATAAGAACTAGAAAGTATTAATCCTGCGCTGAACATTGTATTTTACAAACAGACAAAAGAGTGGAGTGGAAGATCCATCCATCCATCCAGTTTCTTCCGCTTCATCCGTTGCCAGGTCGCGGGGGCAGCAGTCTAAGCAGAGACGCCCAGACTTCCCTATCCGCACACACTTCCTCCAAAGGAGCGCCCAGCCTCTCTGCAGGAGAAACTAATTTCGACCGCTTGTATCCGCGATCTCGTTCTTTCGGTCATTACCCAAAGCTCATGACCATAGGTGAGAGAGGGAACGAAGATTGACTGGTAAATCGA